GGGGGGACCCTGGGAAGGCAGGGGAAGAAAGTGTCCCCATAAAGGAGAGCCTGACTCGAGAGAGCCAGCGGGCACCACCCACACACATCACTGGCAAGACCCGACCCAGAAAACTTGAACCACAGGTTTCTCAAAAGGGAAGGATCCTAACCATGGTTCGATCACCCTATGTACGTTGCAGATGAGGAAACTGAGGCCCAGAGAAGGGCAGCACACCAAAGGGGAGTCTCCAGCCCAGGGCAGCTGTGGGGAAACTGCCACCTGTCAGACGGAGACAGCCAAGTGCCCAGCCCCGGGACCGCCTGGAAACAAGCTAGAGGAGATGGAAAAGGCCCATTGTGGGACAGACGCCGGGAGGCTCGTGGATTCCCCAACTCTGGATACACCACCCACAGCTACATTGTCTGTGGTGTCGGGCCCTTGGGGCCACTCACTTTCTGCGAACGTGTGTGTAGACACCCATAGAGGTGGACATGTGGCTACTGTGTGCCGACAAGTCCATTCCAAATAACCGTGACCCTGGAGGACAGAATAAAACTGCCCCCTGGGGCTTCCTAGGCGGTCACTGTCACAGGCAGGCCACTGGGCCTTTCCTCCCACGGAGTCACCCTGGGTTGGAACCACCAGCTTTCAGTCGTAGCCAAGTGCCCCAGGGTATGCATAGCAAGGGAACATCCAGTATGTAATCAGACTAAAACAAAAGAAAACATTTTAAAAGTAACATTGCACAAGGGTGTCCAATAACATGGGATGCTGGGTTTTGCTGTACTGCCACATTAAAAATTAAAAAGTAGTCGCAAAATCGTGTGCATACAAGTTAAAAAATTTTTTACAATGGCCAGAAAAGCCTAGAAGGATATATGTTCAGATGTCAGCAGTTCTAAGAGGTGTGCTTATGGACCACTTTTTATTTTCTCCAATTTTCTAAATTTCTGACAAGGTATGTGTTGCTATTTTACAAAGAAAAACAACCAAGCTCATTGCTGGCTACTGGCTTCCAGCTCGTCACAACCCTGTGCATTTCCCGGGCTGTGTGTTTCCCGGGTTGTGCATTTCCCGGGCTGTGCATCCTGCCGGGCGCAGGGGCTGGCGGGTCCAAACTGCCCACCTCTCGGAGCGCTGCTGAGCACCTGAACCTCCGCACCACCAGGAGGAAAAGATTACTTTGAGGGTTTCCTGATCCTGCTCGAGCCCCTTAGAAGCTCACAGGCTTCCTTTCCTCATCTGCAAAGTAGGGGTGTTAAAGGGCTGCACCTACCCACCCCCAAGTGAGATCGAGCAAACCCACCCACCACCACACACCCAAAGCCAGGCACTTATCCCACTGTGGGAGACCTCCTGAAAAAGAATCCAGAGACAAGGCCAAGGTTATAAATAAATGTCTAGGGAGTGTCCGTGATGGTCATTAATCCTGTCACTATCCCGGGAGGCATTTGCACTTTGCACTTGTCAGAAAAACCTCAGGGTGCCTATGTATGAGAGAGAGAGAGAGAGTGTGTGTGTGTGTGTGTGTGTGTGTGTGTGTGTGTGGTGTAGGTCTGCGAGTGTGTACACGTAACCGTGGATGCCTGCATCTGATGTGCGTGTGTGTGTGTACACCAGCACCCGTGTGCATTGTGTGCGCGTGTATACATGTGCACGCTTCTCTGAGCACTGTGCGTATGCACCTGTGTGCACCTTCTCCAGAAGGGAACATCAGCAGGAGGGAGTGGGTGTGGAGAGCTGTGGGGGCTGAGCCGGCTGCTGCGGGAGGGAGGAGGCTCAGGCTGGCGCGGGTCCCAGCAGTCCCCGGCTTACCTTGTTTTCATCAAAGACGTTGAAGACAAATGTGGCGAACTTGGTGGGGTCTCCGAAGGGGAAGAACTGCTTGTAGATCTTCTGGAAGCCGGCGGCATCCAGCTGCCCACTGGGGCAGTCCTTGATGAAGCCTTTGTACCTGGGGGCAGCAGGCCAGGCAAAACAGGTCAAAAGAGACACCGCCTCACCCATGCTGCAGGCGCTCCAGCCCAGAGCCCAGGGTAGCTGAGCATCCTGTTCAGAGACAGGGCCACATGGGGGCTGTGAGCACCTCCCTGGACACCACAGGCAAGGGCTCACTGCCACCTCTGCCTCCTGCCCACTGTGTGCCCTTGGACAAGTGACTTCACCTCTCTGAGCCTCTTCGCTACAAGGAGGACAAGGACCAGCAAGAGCATGATCCCAGGTGCCCCATATGGCCACCTGGCATGTTGTATTTCTAATACCAGTAGGGTCACCCAGAGTGGGTGAAGGTAGACTACAGAGACAGGGAGGCAGGCCTGCTGGAGGAAAGCCCTGTGGATCCCAGCAGAGCACTGTCTGCTGCCGGGCTGACCATGAAATACACAATGGCATTGACCGGGAGCCGGAGCCCAGCAGCCAACTGCACGGCGGTGGAGGATCACACAGCGTGTGCTCCGTTCTGTGCTGCAGAACGTCTTATGTGAAGGGCGGGGAAGACAGGACCCTCCAGGGTGGCGCTCTGCTTCTCTGCTGAGCCCTACTCAACACCACAGAGGGCTGGGTACTGGTGGGTGGAGCCTAAGGGCTGGCAGCTGACTCCTCCCACATGCAGGCTCCTCCCCCTACACAGAGCTCAATCTTGTACACACACACACACACACACACACACACACATCCCTCCTGACTAGCCTCAGCTCTCATGGAGCTGGATGGACCCACACTGGAGCAGGACAAACTGAGGGGACTCTGGTGTTCTGTCCCAACTAGACCTAGCACCCTGCATCCCCAACACCCCGCCTGTGACCTGCCTGAGAGCCAGCCGGTCCGCTGATGACACCCCAGCCCAGCTCCTGAACTGTGGCTTTGCTGTCCAACTCCGGGCTGTCTTCTCCAGCTGTGCAGCCTCAGGCAAGTGACCTCATCTCTCTGAGCCTCTGTTCCCGCCTCTACACAGAAGCGCTGGTGATCGCAGCCCCCTCGCAGGGGTGCAATGAGACCTTACAGGCAGCACCCCTGGCATGGGACTGGCATATACACAGTGGTGCTTTATCCCACTCGGGAGTCGGCTCCTGTGGGTAGATAGCTCTCCCACCCGAGACAATTCCCAGCACAGGGGGAGGGGCTTGCTTTTACCCATCACTCCCAGGAGGCCAGGCTCTATGCTGGGCACTCTGCCAATCTTACGCTCCCTGAATGCCCTAACAGCCCAGCGAGCAAGGATCTCTGGCGGTGCCCATTTTAAAGATGGAGAAACTGAGGCTCAGCAAGGGGACGTCATCTGATTCCTTTACAGTCCTGGCAGCCCGCACAGGTGGGGTCAAAGGTGAACACAGAGGAAGTCCGGTGCTCAGAGAAAACGGCCTGCTCTGTCCTCACGGGGTCTGAGGCCCCGAGTAACATGGAAGATGAGGGTCTCTGAGAACAGTGCTGGAAGCTGCTGATGGCCCCACGATTCAGGTCCAGAGGGAGAGGTCCCGTGGGAAATGCTGTTCCCTTGTTCTCAGGGACCTGGGCTCCATGGCCAGCCCAGGAGGACAAGTATGCCTCCGAGGACAATTCTTAGCTCAGAACATGCAGGGCGCCTGAAAGAGGGAGGCTGGAGTTCTGCAGCCGATCTGATGGGGTCAGATGTCAGAAGGAAAAAAGGGCACAACACCAGCCAATGACCTCGGCGGTCCCCTTAAAGAGCGTAGGTTACTGAGATGACCAGAGGATAGAGGGGCAGAGACCAGAGACCCTGGAGTCCAGATGTCAGAAGGAAAAAAGGGCACAACACCAGCCAATGACCTCGGCGGTCCCCTTAAAGAGCGTAGGTTACTGAGATGACCAGAGGATAGAGGGGCAGAGACCAGAGACCCTGGAGTCCGATGACCATGGGAGCTTCCTTCTCCACGGTGGAGTGGAGTGGGAACACGGCCATCCCAACATTGTCCATGATGATTGTGAGTTTGTCAGAGAGGCAATGCCTCAGGGGCCTGCCTCTGGACAGGGCACCTGGAAAGGCCAGACACCAGGAGGGTCCTTTTCAGTGGCTGAGGTCCTGCCCAGCCTCCCTATCACCAAGAACCTTGTGTAACAGCTCTTTGACAGCAGGTCCCAAAGCTAGGCACCAACTGTGTATAGATCTTCATTCGGCAAGGACCCCTGGGTGGCGTAAACCTACTAGCCGAAAGGTTAGCACTTCCAACCCTCCGGAGGCAGCCTAGAGACCTGCTGCCAAGAGGTCACAACTTAAAAACACTGTGGAGCGGTTGTACCTTACACACTCGGGCTGCCAGGAGTCAGAAGTCACCCAGCGGTCACTAACAACCACACCCTCATTCCCATCGACCCTTTGTGGCAGGTTCAATGATCCCCGCTTCAGTTGAAGGCACTGGGGCACTGAGAGGCCGGGGCGATTGGTCCAAGTTCCCACGCAGGAAGGGCTCAGAGCCTGTCGTTGCCTTAGGGCGATCTGCCGCACAGGCCTCCGTAAAGTATTGGAAAGCAAGGTGGTTACTTTGAGGACTAACGTGCGCCTGACCCAAGCCAGCCTATTTCCAATCGCCTCATGTCCCTGTGAAAGTTGGACCCTGAATCGGGAAGACCGAGGAAGAATCGCTGCATTTGAACTGTGGTGTTGGAACAGAATATTGAAAAGACCACGGGCGGTCAAAAGGACACCCTGATCTGTCTTGGAAGAAGTGCTCCTAAGAGGCCAGTCCTTGGAGGAGGACGTCATGCTTAGTCAAGGGGAGGGGCAGCAAAAAAAGAGGGAGACCCTCACCAAGACGGACCAACCCAGTGGCTACAACACTGAGCACAGACATAAGAACGGTGGTGAAGAGGGCGCAGGGCTGGGTGGTGTGTTGTTCAGTTGGGCACGGGGTCTCAAGGCGCCGGACCTGACCCAACAGCCCCTCACTCCACCAGAGTCTGTGCTCCAACCACCAGCCTTCCTGTCCCCTCTGTTCTCACCCTGGAGCGTAAGCGGTCCGCCATCACTTCGTACCCCGTCCCAGCAGGACCCTCGGTGTCTAGCGGTCTCTGCTCCTTGTCTGCTCTGAGCCCCTGCTGACACTGGCCATGCCAGAGGGAACCAAGGGGTGGGGGGGCACTGACACCGTAGCAGGTCTGGGTGGAGACCAGTGCAGCTCACTCTGCTACCGCCCCATCCCTTGCTTCCGCCCCCCGCTGGCTGTTGCAACAGTGCCTGCCTCACATGTTCACACCCAGGTCTGGGACTCGGGGCCAGACTGGGGTTGGTGGGCAGTGGACGGGGCCGGGGAGATGAAGGTCTAAGTTGGGGGAGAATTGGTCCATGCACCCCTTCTGATTCCCCTCTGGCAGCGCGGTGCCCCTTGGGTGATTGTAAAAGGTTGTCAAAAGCAGACGTGATAAAGCGAAATGCACCCAGATGCATTGGGGAGACAGTCTCTGGGGAATCGTCCCCAAGGGTGGCTCTCAGGAGGGAGGCGGCGTCCAGACGTTGGTGGCAGCAGCGGGAGCCATCAACACTGTGAGCGGTGTTAATGGACTGTGGGTAGGGTGTGGGAAGGCCAGCCTCAGTGGGGAGCTGGGGGAGGGCGGGGATGAGGGCTGGGGGACGCTGCCCAGCTACTCCTGCGAGGGCTGTCACTGTCACTGTCCGAACCAGCCCCCTGCAGCACCATTACAAGAAGCCCCAGGAAACCGCCCCAGCAGAGTGCTCCAGCCTCTGCCCTCACTCCTGTATTGCACCCCCAGCCCCCCTTTCTGGAACTTGCGAGGCCACCCCCAGGCTACCACATCGCTTGCTCCGGATCCTCTATTCCACCTGGCCCCCACTGGCCCCAAAGCATCCCAGCCCCTCGGCCCACACTGCAGCCTATTTCCCTGAGCCCGAGAACGTCATCAGCCACCAACCAGGGACACAGAATGAGTCCACAAACTGTCAGGCAGAGGCAGAGAGCCCAGGCGTCTGGCTCTAAGGTGAGTGGCACCCTCCTGGGCCCCCGAGCACAGGGCATTGGGACAGGGCAGGGGCACCCAGTAACTCCAGACTCAACCCAAGAGCTCCAATGGGGAAGGTGGGGAAAGGAACCCACTCCCATTCTTCTAAGTATAGAGGGGGGATTAAAGGTCCAGAAAGAGGCAAGACTGGCCCAAGGTTGCACAGGAAATTAGCAGCAGAAAATAGGGCTCAGATCCGGGTCTCCTGGCTTCCCGGCTCCCCATCTCATCTGCCACTCCCAAGAGCCAGGCTGCAGCACCACCCCCGAATCAGCGCATGAGTAAAGTGCTAGCTACCCAAACATTACGTAACCGCATTGTTCCGCAGCAGGGGGTGGAGGGGGACACCCTGCTCACCCAGCGTCAGCTGTTCCAGTTACCCCAATGCCCACAGCACCTCACATGTCAGCTCAGCTCCTCGGCCAGGGCTTCTGTGATGGGCCCAGGTCTCCAAGACCCCACCGGCTGGCTGAGTCAGTACACCCCACTTCATCCCCAGCCCACGCCCTCATCACAGGCACCCCCATGAACCACTGCCCTATGAAAGGTCTCACCCACCAATCCACCCCAGGAGGGCTGTGAGACATGATTCCAGCCCCGGGCTCAGGTTCCAACAGGCCCAGCCTCCTCCCTCTCCTTCCCCCACCCCGTCTCCTACAGACATGCTGCCGCCTAGAGAACATGCACCCATGGGCCCTCTGCCATGTCTGGCCCAGTCCTGACACATAGTAGGCGGGGCCTGGGGCAATGCCCTTCTCTGCTGGCAAAATGAAGGGCTGAGGTCTGTCCACCTAGGCCCCTGTGCTCTAGGGGACATCTGCAGCGCCCCTGGCCTCTATTTCTCAGATGCTAGTGGTGACCCCTGCCACAGTGACAACAAATTGTCACCCAATGTTCCCTGGAAGCAAACCCCGCCTCCCTGGGCGAGAACCACAGAACCCTGGGGACCTCCACGAGCTCAGGGTTTTGTGTCTGACTTCCAGGGCTCAGAGACTGGAGAATGCTGCATTTATACCATTTAGGGAGCAGCTCCTATGCGGGAGGAGCCCTGGGAGCCGAGAGTGGGTTACGCTCTCTTGGGGCTTCTAATCATAAGGGCAGCCGCTGAAAGCCACCAAGCAGATGGCACTGCCCTCTCCCTCTAGGGCACAGGCTCCGAAGCCCAAGGGAGCAGTTCTCCTCTGTCCCATGGGATCACTGGGTGTGGGACTCCACTCCAGGGCTGCGGGGGTTCTGGACACAGGGACTCACGCTTTCCAGGCCCGATTTCGCCCAATTGCCTCCACGAGGCACGCGTTCCTAAACCCCCTTAGAGATGGGAAAACCAAGGTTTAGAGAGGTTACAGCTCCTTCGGGTTCAGGATCCTTGCGGCTATCCTCCTCAACAACCCCCTGACTCCCCACTTCTGTTCGCCCTACAGGCTCAGCTTCAGATCCGCCCAGCCTGGGTCCCACCTGGTACATGTCCTAGCAGCCCCCAAACTATGCCTGGAAGACCGGCTTGTGGCCTGTCTTCCCGGTGCCGGAAGCAGGAGCCGTGTCTTCTAGTTCACTTCTGCACCTGCAGACTCCATACTGTGTCTGCACACAGGAGGGGCCCTCCCCCTCACTGCCAGACTCAAGGCAACCCTAGCGGGCAGGTTAGAACTGCCTCTGTGGGTTCCCGAGACTGCACCTCCTGACAGGGGTAGAAAGCTCCATCTTTCTCCTGCAGGGCGGCGAGCAGTTTCGAACGGCTGACCCTGTGGTAAGCAGCCCAGTGTGCAACCACGACGCCCCCCGGGGCTCCTGCGTTCAAGAGAGCTGGGTGAAAGTGAGAAAGGACAAGACCCAGTTTCGGCACTGCATCCACACAAGCCTTGAAGGAGGGGGAGCAGAACCTGTCATTCCGTAAAAAGACAGGAAGCTCAGTGCCACTTGCCAAAAGCACTCCCGGATTTGACACTGCGCCTCCCACCTCCTCCCCGAGCAGCGCCAGCCCCGGGGAGACACACCTGTGTCACCAGGAGACTCCCCGCACTTCATCTCCACTCCCACCCCCACCCCCACCCGTCCCTGTCCCTGCCATGCCCCGGGCCCAGCACAGGGCCTGGAGGATAGAAAAAACCAGGAAAGGTGTGCTGGGTGGATGAGCGGGCAGATAAACCAACAAGCACACGCCGTGACACCTGGGTCCAAGTTCAGCTTCACCTCCAGCCCTCTGAAGGCCTTGAGCAGGCCACGGTCTCCCAAAGGCTGCCAGAACTTTCCTGAACTCCAGGCTCTCCGTTCCCACAGAAACCCGGCCCTCCGGACCCTGCCAGAAGGAAAGCCCCATGTCCCTCCATGCGACACAGCACGCGGCTTCCTGCAGGTGGGGAACAAATCCACCGAGGGAGCAACAGATAACAAGCACCGCCCCTCGCCGCCATCAGCCGGCAGGGCGCAGCTGGGACCACGGGACCACGCAGCAGCAGCAGCAGCAGCCCTTGCAAATTGTGCTCCTATTATCTTTTCAGACAACCCCCTTCCCAGCGCTCCCTGGAGACCTGACTTCAGACATTCCGGAGGAGGGACCAGAGCGCGGATGAGCATGAATGCTCTTCTGCCCCACCCCCACCACTGCCTCTGGTTCTTCAGGAGGGTTCCCAGGAGCCAAAGCCTAACAGCCCAGGCCAGTGAGGCAGAGGGAACTTGACCCAGATTACACACACGCACAGGCACATCTGTGCCACGGTGTCCCTACCCCTCTGCGCTTCGGTTTCTTCATCTGGAGAATGGGGCTAGCTCCTAAAACGGACCTCTGGGCCCTGTTCTAAGTAGCCAGCTCAGGCCCGGCCCACAGGAGGAGCCCAGGGGATGCTAAGATGAGCTAATGGCTAGCAGGCCTGCCTCCGTACCCATCCACGTCTGCGTGGGATGGCCAGGGATTGACAGCTGGCCCTGCTGAGGCGGCTGCAAAATTCTTCCTGCGTCCACCCACTGTTGTTGTTACAATACTGCTGGGCTAGTTGGTTAGGGCTAACCTAATGCAACCATTGCGGAACATTTGAAAAAAGGAACATATAAGTAGGGGGTGGGGGGAATACTTGTCATCCATGAGCCCACCACCCCAACATACCCACTCCCAGTCTGAAGCCCCTCTCTTTCCCAACTCTGGGTTCCCCCACCACTCCTCCCATCATGCAACTGTGCCGGACGGAGGAAGTGTGGCAGCTGCTTCCACCCGACTTTAGGTCGCCCTTGTCAGTGAGGTTGGTTTCCACCAATGTCACCCTGAAAAGTTGTCCAGAGGCGGCTGCAGTTTCTGAATCCACCACCCTTGTTCTCTCTGACCTTGCATTAAGAGAGGGAGGATGGGGTGGGGGCCAGGGCAAGGGGGGTGATGTGAATCAGGAGCAAGGGATCTGGGTGTGTCGGCGAGGACCCCAGGCTGGCTGCAGACCCCGATGCTGGCTCAACCTCCCAGGGCAGAAGACGTCGACAGGATGCGCAGCTGGGAGCCCCAAGAGTCACCCCACAGCTACCTGGGCTGGGAGCCTGATAGTCGGCACTCTAGGCGAAGGTGCAGGTGGACCAGGGCAGGGACATGTCCCTAGGGGTCTGTGGACCGTGGACGGCACAAACAGGGGACTTGGTGGAGCTCACAGGCCTGGGGCTTGAAGGTCACCCCCCGAGCTGCAGGTCCTGCCTCCCCTGAGGCTGTGTTCACTGCTGTCCAGTCCATGCTGACTGAAGGCGGCCCTACAAAACAGGGCAGAACTGCCCTCTGAGTTTCCGGCACTGTCACTCTTGATGGGAGTAGAAAGCCTCACCTTTCTCAGGGGGAGCGGCTGGTGGTTTTGAACTGCTGACCTCGAGGTCATAACCACAGCTGGGGCCTTCACTGCAAGGTGTGTCTGAGAGCGTGTCTGGCACACGGGCCGCCTCTCCAGGGCAAACATCACCCCTTCCAAGCCTGGGCTGGGCCCAGGCATTGCACCATAGCTCCTGACACCCTCTTCTCAGGCCCACTGCTCTGTGTCCCCTGGGAGAGGCAGATCTCCAGGGCTGTCTTCCTCGGAACCTCTGGGTGGGTTCCAACAGCCAGTCTTTTGGCCAGAAGTCTGGTACTTACCTGTCTGGGCCACCATCATTAATGATGACTGAGGGGACCAGGGTTCTCAGGTTTTCATTCTAAGAGAAAGTGCCCTTTGACCCTTTGACTGCCCCATGGGAAGTAGGGATGACACCCACAGTTGGGGATCCGGAAGGCTTCTTGGAAAAGGAGGTTAGACCGCATGGAAGGGCAGAGGGGGCTCAGATGGTCCAAAGAAGAGGGGCAACTGAGACCAGAAGAACTAGGGTGTGCCCAACCACCACTGCCAACGGCTCTGAGAGGGGCACATTCAAAGGTCCTGGGTAGACTGAGAGAAAATATTGGGACAGAACTCACAAGCAAAGGTCTCATGATGATTGATCAGATAGAGCCTGATGGGACCCCCAAAATGATGGCCCTTAACCCTTGGGTCCGACACTAAACTCACCTGCTCTTAGAATGACCAACGCCGTGAGATCAGCGGGGCGGATGGACTGGGGACAATGTGCGGAGGGTTGGGAGAGAGGAGGAACGGAGGCAGGTGACCCAGGGGAAAGTGGGAGAGTCACCAAGGGGACTGCAGTGGATACATTCAACCAAAATGTTGATCTGCTCTGTAAACCTTCGCCTAATTCACGTGAAACAGTTGTGGGAGGGGCACTAGAGGAGTAAGGGGGAGCTGGGTAGACAATGGTCCAGGAAGGAAGCATCCTGGGAAGGGAGAGCAGAGTGACAGAGGCCTAAAACAGGAGCATCTCTACCTACCGCCCAGAACATACTTGTTTGTGGAAACAGAGTCTGAGAACAGCTAAGTCACTTGCATGTGGTCACTCTCAGAGAGGCACAGGCAAAGCCTATTTCTGAACTACTAGAAAGTCACCAAGCTCTACTCCCTCCTCCTCAGCCTTCCCCCCATCTCCTACCTTCTAGTGTGAGCCTACACAAAGATACAAAATATACCACTCTCCTCCCCTAGACCCAGGGCAGGCATCACTAATCCATTACAGAGCTCACAAATCACTCATTGTGATACCTTCCATTGCTCCATGATACATAGCCTCAGAGTCTCTTAGCACAGCACTCAGGGCGGTCACTGTGGGTTAATCAGAGCTGGACACAGATGTGCCATCCTTGAACCAGTCGAATCAATCCTTTCTAGGAGGGGCAACTGAGCCCCAGAGAGCAGAAGAGACTTCTCAAAGCCACCAGGTAATTTAGTGACAAGCCAAGCTTGGAACGAAGTCTCTTGGCTCACTTCTCTTGGGTCATGAATACCTCCCCTTTGGTGAACAGGGCCTAGAGTGATCCCTTCAGGGCCCAGTGGCCACTAGAGATGCCACACAAGGTGAAAAACTGTGAACCCCTCAGCGCTATCCCTGACCCCAATCCCACTGATATTCTACCAGCCCCACATGGCCAAAGGAAGCCGGGGTCTGCCTGGGTGGCTCTGTGGCAAAGTCTCTCCCAGGGTGCCTTTCATGTGCTTCTGAGCCAGGCAGCACGCCTGTGGTCCCAGCCAGCACAAAACCCCGGCCCCCGGCCCCTAGCCCCCACCCGTCTCCAGGGATGCAGTCACTCACCACTGCTGGACTTCCTTCTCGGTAACTGCAAGAGAAAAGAGAGAGGTAAGGAGGTGCTCAGGAGAGGGTCCCAGGGGACAGGCAGACCCTCTCAGGGGAGCCCCCCTCACTGCCCTGCCTGTCCCATGGCCCGCCTGCCAGCTCTGAACAGGAAAATGCACCCCCACCCACCTGCAGGTGAACAGTGCCAGGTGGGGGGCTCTGTGCCCAGCTACCCCCTCAGGGAACAAATGCTGTCCCGACCCTCCCCCCATGCCTATTGCTGCTGCTGTTGTGAGACTGGCCTAGAACCCTCTCCCACATTCAGGGCTCACTTCCCAGTCCTAGGCCAGGGAAGCAGGGCTGTCGAAATATCACTCTCCCATATCTCAGTCCTGGGAGGCAGGCTGGTCAGAGGAGGTGCTGCCCACTGCTGCAGGTGGGGCCCCAGCCCAGCCCCAGCAGTGCCCCAGCATGCTCTCTGCCTGGGCCACCCCTTCAGCCCCACTCCAATGGCCAGTCCTGTTACTCTCACCGGGAAGATGGAAATGAGCCCTGACCCATGGGCTGGAACCAGCCCTCCAGAGTGGCTGAGCCTCAAGGAAAAGCCAAACAGTCCTTCTTGGTGACATGGGTCACAGCTCGATGTCAAGAAAGCAGAAACCGCCTGGGTGACCACGAGGTGTAGAAGGGACCAGGTATCAGGCATCAAAGAACAAAAATCATATCAGTGGGTGCCCACCTGCCCAATATGATCACTGAAGACAAATGTGTGCATAAGCAAATGTGGTGAAGAAAGCTGATGGTGCCCTGCTATCAAAAGATATAGTGTCTGGGGTCTTAAAGGCTTGAAGATAAACAAGCGACCATCTAGCTCAGAAGCAACAAAGTGCACATGGAAGAAACACACCAGTCTAAGGTGCCGAAGGGATCAGTATCAGGCATCAAAGAACAAAAAATCATGTCATTGTGAATGAGGGGGAGTGCAGAGTGGAGACCCAAAGCCCATCTGTAAGCAACTGGAGATCCCCTTACAGAAGGGTGGCGGGGAGGAGACAAGCCAGTCAGGGCGCAAGATAGCAAAGATAAAACATACGACTTTCCTCTAGTTCCTAAATACTTCCTCCCCGCCACTATCATGATCCCAAGTCTACCTTACAAATCTGGCTAGACCAGAGGATGTACATTGGTACAGATAGGAATTGGAAACACAAGGAATCCAGGACAGATGATCCCTTCAGGACCAGTGGTGAGAGTGACGATCCTGGGAAGGTGGAGTAGAAAGAGGGAGCTGATTACAAGAATCTACATATAACCTCCTTCCTGGGGGATGGACAACAGTAAAGTGGGTGAAGGGAGACGTTGGACAGGGCAAGATATGACAAAGTAATAATAATTTATAAATTATCATGGGTTCATGAGGGAGAGGGGACATGGGGAGGGAGGGGGGAAATGAGGACTGATACCAAGGGCTCAAGTAGAAAGCAAATGCTTAGAGAATGATGATGGCAACAAATGTACAAATGTGCTTGACACAATGGATGAACGGATGGATTGTGATAAGAACTGTACGAGCCCCCAATAAAATGATTTCTTTTAAAAAGAAAGAAAGCAGAAACCAGCCCCGAGTAAGATGATTTTTTTTTTAAAAGAAAGAAAGAGAGGCGCAACCCTGACAACGACCAACGGGGAACATCGCATGGGTAGAAAAAAGGTTGGCGTTGCCTGGCGTGGGTCCACCGTCAATGCTCACGGAAGCAGCAGTCGAGAGAGCAAAGGGCGCCTTGCGTGGGACACATCTGCTGCACAAGACCTCTTTAAAACGGTGGCGAGCCAGGATGTCACGCTGAAGGCCCAGGCAGGCCCCACGTTGAAGGCCAAGCCATGCCCCACCCACGCCATGGTATTTTCAATCACTTCATAGGCCTGTGAAAGCTGGCTGTCGGCTAAGGAAGACAGAAGAAGAATCGATGCCGTGAACTGCGGTGCTGGCAAAGAATACTGAAGATACCGTGGAACTGCTCAAAGGACAAACAGACCTGTCTTGGAAGCGGTACGGCCAGCATGCTCCTTGGAAGCAAGGACAGTGAGACTTTGCCTCATCACATACTTGGGACACATCGTCAGGAGAAACCGGTCCCTGGAGAAGGACCTCCTGGTTTTGGTGAAGCAGAAGCGCGGTGACAAAGAGGAAGGTCCTCCACAAGCTAGAATGACCAGTGGCCACACTGGGCTCAGACATCACAACAACTGGGGGAATGGCGCAGGCCCGCAGGCCCGGGCAGTTGTTCGTTCTGCCAGGAGTCAGAGCCAACACAACAGCACCTAACAGCGCAACAGTTGAACCACGAGACAAAAAGCTTGGTTTTAATGTCTTTCTTTCTCCCTCTCTTTTTAATTCTTCTCCCAAAAAGTAGTGAATTGCTTTGATGTTCTCTCTAAAACCACTGAACCAAAACATCAAACCACTTCCAAGACCAGACGCAGGCCGAGCCTGGGGAGCGGGACCAGAGGAGAGCTCCTCCCACTTTCCATCTACGAAGGTAGGGGGGTTGGTAGGGGGTCAGCATGACGGCACCTGCTGCCCAGCACCGTCCTCAGAGGTCAACCACAGCAGGTGTGAACATCTCTGACTCTAGGAGGGGGCTGGGCGCTTGCATGCGCTCCACATGGGTTTGTGGCAGGAGCAAACGGGTGGACGAGCGGCGTGAACAAAGACATGGGCAACAAAGCCATGTTGAGGTTGGGTTATCACGGGAACTGGAATCCTTCCCAGGGAAGTGGGAAGAGGCCCAAGGAGTCCTCTTGGGTTGTTTGTGCCCAAGCAGTCTTGGGGAAGCCACTTTTC